CACACACACACACACACACACACACACACACACACACACACACACACACACACACACACACACACACACACACACACACACACACACACTGACATAAGTCTCCCCTAAACATGTTATCTAACAAATGCAGAAATGACACACCCATTTCATTTAAAAATGAAACTTTCTCTAAGTTTCCAGTGGCCTGTAACGTTTGTCTTTGCTCTGGCACGGCCAACAAAATGGAGAGTGTCAGCAGGAGCCAGTGTGAGCTGGACATTAGCGATTCACACATCAAAGTCATAAATCAAGGGCACCCTTACCACAGAATAAATGGAGCACAGAGACCCGAGACTGGCTGTGTGCTAACTGTATCACTCTGAGATTCCTTAATGAAGCCTTAGTATTTTTTTTCACATTGTCTGTTAACTGGCGTTTAATGTCATCCCTCCTGTGTTAACTTCCTCTCTGCACACCTCTACTTTTCATGTTTCACCTACAGGGAAAAATGGGAAGTATCTCTACAAAGACATGTAGGGATACAATGCATGCATATTTAATTGAATGTATCTATTTAATGGCTCACAAACAATACTGACATAAATAATACATTAAACATTCACACACGCAGCGCTTTGTTTGGGCTAGACACAGGCGCTCACAGAAGCTTGCACAGCATGCACAGGTGAGTGTGAGTGATAATTTTACCTGAGATCTAGAGCTTTTTTTTGCTCTTCACCATTAGTTTTTTGGGGGGATCTGTTGTACATGTTTGGCATTACAAGAGGACATACTGACAATATCTCGTCTTTCTTGTCACCTTTGATGTACTGCACAATCATAAAGAGCGTTTGTGTCACACATGCAATATTGATCATAACATTAGCAGGAATATGTGCGCAAACTCACACACACACGCACAATCTGTTACCATAGCAACACATATCCTTGATGCACTCACACATGCACGCATGCATGTTGCACACACACGCACAGGAGGTGGATGGGGCAGTGGCCAAACATGTATATGCTTTTTGATCTGCTTCTCATTCAAGCAATCATGTTAGTGTCATGCGGCGGCACAGCCAGACATGCGCGTGTGTGAACTGTCGATGAGCTGCCTTCGCACCACAGTGACACAATATATCACTATGCAGTGAGAGCGGATCTGCGCAATAAAACACTGCATGTTTCATATCATTGATACCAAAATAATGCCTTTGCTTTTTTGCGCCAGTACAGTTGAGTGACACGTAGCGCCTACTCACATGCAGAAGCACTGTGGCACAGACGGCTGTCGTCTGTGTAATCTACTCAAGTCTGTACCAACCCATTTGACAGTTGCATCATTTGAATCATGGTAGGGAGCTGCTCTGAAGTAGGAAGCTTTAACATGCACACAAGATCAGATATTGATGTGCACATTCACATAGCATGTGCATGCACATTTCATAGCTTGAATATTATCTTTCTAAAGCGAAGTTTATCTGTTATTCAACCCAGACTGGCCTCTTACAATATGAGTCAGGATGTCAAGGGTCCCCTCAAGAGTAATCATATTTTTTCATGAGCTTGAATCCCAGGACCAGATTCTGAAGTTTGTCTTTGTCGAGATTTAAAGAACTTTCATAGCCTCCTTATTTCAGTGCTCCAAAGAATCTGCTGAAACCAAACAAGTCATTTCCGATGGATGAATAAAACAGACTCTACCATCCGTCTGTCCACCTGAGTGTGGTTTGTTATCTCAAACTAGTCTATAGTCTATTACCATGGACAGATACACATACACCCCCAATCTATTATTGAACAAAAGGCTCACGCCTCTGCTTAGCCCTTCAGGGAGGAATCCATCCCTCCATCCCAGAATAATTTCACACATCAGTAGGTACACAAAAGAGAGAGAGGAAGAGAGGGAAGGGAAGGAAGAGAGGAAAGGACAGAGAGGAGAAGGATGAGTGCACTGGGTAGAAATGTATGGGGTCACAGCTCAGTGCTTGTGGGAGGCCAAGCAAAGAGCCATGCGTGACAAAACAGAGATCAGAGATGGTATGCAATGGTGCACACTTGCAAGAAAACAAACACACATGCACGCATGCAAACACACGCACTGACATACACATGTCAGGAAAAATGAGAAAATAGGGACATTTCAGATGAAGACTTGTAAAGATTGTGACTGACTTAATCAAAGGCATCAAAACACAGGACGGTAATCTCTTTATCTATCACACTGTACTCCTCTTATTCACACATACAGTGCACGCACACGCGCACACACACACACACACACACACAGAGAAAGGATAATCCTAATTCTGAATGCATACATGTATAAACAGAAACCCAAACAGTGAGGATAAGGAATCACAAAAACAATTGTGAATTTCTTTATTTGTGAGAACATAGAAATTAAGAATTATTTGAAAAAACACACACACACACACACACACACACACACACACACACACACACACACATCCACTCACATGCACAGAGATGTGTCTACATGCCGAATAATTACTGGCCAACTTGGTCAATAACATATCACCACACTGAGCAATATCTCGACCAGAACAGTATTACTTTTTGAAGTAACACACACATACACATTTAAAGGATGTGACTTAATACATAAATTGATTTAAGTTTGACAGCTGACATCTGATTGATCTGGAAATCCCACATAAGATTGTGTTAGGCTACAGTCTATGGTGGTAATACAAACTCTACATGCGTATTAAATTTGATTAAATTTAAATTTGATGACCAATGATGATTTCAATTTTCAATGTGCTACTATAGCTATAGCTCGTTTGTTGTCTGCAATACAGACAGATAACAAACACAGGGGTAAAAAATCAATACCTTTGTTGCGGCAGATACAAAATAATCGACCACAATAATCTGGCATTGTGCATATCCCTAACAGACACATGCAGTAAGAAACACACACACCGACTGAAACACAAACATGCATTAGATGCACATCGAGCATCCTCCTATGAAAGCATCAAGCAAGAGGAGCAGCAGACACAATGGAGTGTTTAAGTATGCAGGAAACTTTATGCCTGGGTGGAAAAGGAGCTTTGAAGGAATTCGCTGAGGGACACCCAACCTCCCCCTGAACTGAGCCTGTACCTCCTCATCAGAGAGAGAGAGCGCCAAGGAGAGAGAGAAGGAGAGTGAGGGAGGGGGGAGGAGAGGAAATGAAAGATAAAGATGAAGAGGAGTAGATGGTTAGTTGAAAGGGAGACTTATGGAGAAAAAGAGGGAGAAAGGGCAGGAGAGGGGGCAGGCAACAAGGTGCTCTGGTCTAGTTGCTGCGCTTTGTGCACAACTGCTGTTGGTTAGGCTGATGAAAGTAGAAGTCCCTAACTAACAGTGGCTACGTTGTAGCACACTGAACACACACGCACACTGAACACACACGCACACACACACAGACACACTACCTATTCATGTGTGCACACTGTTCAGTAGGCGCCGGGCTTAACTCCCAGTATGACCTTCATTGAGATGGATTGCATGAAAAATGTAATGACTTTCCTGAGAGAAAAACCACAGGCCAAATCAGCTTTGCATTGCATAATAATGCAGGACTTGGTAATCAATAACACAAACACACAAACACACATCCATAATGGAGTGCACAGCCTGCACATGGAGAAAATGTCCTCGCAGAGGCCAACCACATCACAATGAATGAAGCTAACCACCAGCGGAGAGCAGTGCAATGAAATGCATGAACAAGGAGTCATTGACGATAAATGCCTGCAACCATTTCCACCCATCAAACAATTCCCTAAGCTAAAGCCAACAGATTAAATCTGAAACAACAGGAAGCTCTGTGCAGCTTTTCTCACCCCAAATGTTTAGCTCAGGGTCATCTATGGTCCTGAATAAAGAGCTGTCCCCAACTAATTTTGCCACATTTTACATGGGCACCACTAAGCCAGCGGCTGAATTTAAGTTATGTATTGTTCATGGTGCAAATATGATGCTAATTTTGGCCCAGAACAGGACAGACTCAGCCCTATATTCATGAGTGGTAGCCATGGGTTTGTGTGAAAACTACAGTCCGATTATGAGTTAAACACAATGTGGTTCACAGACTGAGTAAAGTGAGGTGCAAAAAGCCCTGAGGTAACTTAAACTTAGTTCACTTTTATGATCAAATCCTCTGGGTGCATGGTCACTGTGTTTGTTGTTTGTACCTCACATACAGCTTTTCATTTCCACTGTTTTGTTTGGTTTTGCAGAACAACAATGCTCACTATAAGTGGAGCATAATTTTCACACATTACACAAAGCAGAAAAAACTATGTGTGCCACACATTTAACAGCTTCTGTGGTGGCATAGCAACAATGTGAAGTTCAGACATCTCCATTGTATTGGTCATGTGGGTTTTGTTGAACCCACCAAACATCAGGGAGTGGAAAGGTTCAATTTCTAGCCTCATTTCTTGTTTCTTAGCTTATAAATCCCATCGTTTTAGGCTGATCCTGGCGCCTTGACCCATAGGGGTTTGGATTACAAAGTGTAATAGAAAGCAACATAATGGAATGTACAGTCAGTGGGACTCTGGCTGGGAGCTCAGGTTGTTTTTTTCACACAATAAAAAGGTGCTATTGTGTTTGTTTACCTCCTCTTCATCTCTCAGTGTGAAATTAGCTGGAGATGCATCACCAGTAAAAACAGAGTTCATCTCACTGTCACAGATATTTGCCTTTCCAGCGTGTTTCATTCTCACCTCGTTGGTGTTCCAGCGATGGCGCTCCTTGGGCAGAGAGGAACATTTGGGTAGACACTCCAGCAACTTCTTCGGAAGGTAGATCTTCAATTGTCCAGGCTCATCTGGAGTGGAAGGAGGGGTGGGGGGTGGGGGAGGACAGGGGAGAAGATAAAGGAAGATAAATGGGGGATGAGTGGGAAGAGAGGAGAAATTTCTCATCAGACACAGAGACATGGTGAGAGGAGAATACCAAAACGCATCATCTGTGGGATCTGGCTGACTCAAATTCATAACAAACTTTTATTGTGTGGCATTTCTAATGGCTCGATGTCACCTTGAGTAATTGAAGTTGCAAAAAGATTTGTTCAGGCCGGTGAAGGACAGAAGCTTTAATTAATTTTGTTCAAATAAAATTTCCACATCCACATTTTGGGCATAGCAGTGAAAAGAGAAGTCAGGCTGATGTTTTGTATGGCTGAGTAAATGTGTTATTCCAAATCAATGCAACAGGACAGAGCCAGCAAATAGCAAACAAACTATGTAAAATATTTCCATGTCATCTGTATTTATAAGCATGTCATATTTTATCTTATTCACTGATTTACAGCATCGTACACAAGAAAGTTTGATGATTGTCGATCAAGGCTAAGTGTGCAGAGCACAAATAGAGTGGCACTGACTTATTTTTGGACAGCAGGTGGAGGTACACAGTGCACCTGAGTCAGATTTGGATTAAGAAGAATCCATTATCATACATTATGAGTACATTTGGGGTTGGTTACAATCACAGCCAATCACATGGGCATCTCTTATCCCCTTTAAAAGCAATGCTCTCCCCTGAGTGTTATACAGACAGGTTGGTAATGGAGTAGGGACTGCAGACCAGCTCCTCTTAAGAGGAAACTAATATTCTTCTGCGGAAGCTGGAAAGTTGTGACAAACCCAGCAGCTTATAATGCAGGCATGAGCAGGTGATGCCTCATTCAAAGTTTTTTTTGTTTCTGAACAAACACTATTTTATTTACAACCACATTGATCCACATGCTAATCACAGGCTGGTTAAAATTGGCTGACTTATACTTGATATTCTAGGTTTTTTCTTTTTGTCAATAAATCCAGCAATGAACTGATACTATCAACAAACACTGTATGTGTAAACAAAACCTGATAGCATGTTTCTCTCTGCCATAAACCTCATGTTGTCCAAAAAACACACCAGTGAGTCACATCATTACACGTTTTTTCATTCTAATAAACACTAATAAACACATGCATGTGTATTTTTGGCGGGTTTTATATATATATATATATATATATACATACCATTCTGTTAAATAATCATCCATACGCCAAATATCTCCAGTTTTAGGTACATTTGGTAAAACCACACAGCCTAGCAAATGTATTACTATATAATCTGAGACATATAACGAAGTAAAGTATTAAAGTATTGAAAACACAGCATTGATTTTAGCCTCTTTGTTGAGTTTGTTGACAACAGTGATAGTGATTTCCTTTTCTTTTTATTCAGTGTATGTGATGTAACTACTGGTTGCAGAATATGTAATAATACAAACAAGCACATTTGGAATAATAGAGGTTTGCTTTTTGGAGGGAGCTATAAGACTGCACTGCCACCAACACGACATGGTGCTGCTGGATTACCTGTGAAACTCTCCTCCTACTGCAGCGCGCAGAGAATCACCAAAATATTGAATAGGTGTGGGTAAAGAAAAAAAATCCCTCTGCGCCACAGGATATACCACTTCACCAGTGCTAAGCGTTCACACAAATACAGCCCCTCATGTGTGTATGTGTGTATGTGTGCGTGCATGCCCAACGGGTGTGCAGCTCAGAAGTCAAAGAGAGCAAGCACTCAAAGGTTATTGATAAGCATTTGAGTAGAGGGCGTCCATTCAAGACTCCCCTGGGAAGATAGGAATTATACTGTACCTGAGGGCTGACAGAGTGAGAGTAAAACAGAGATATGTTAGGTTATGTGTGTGGGTGGGAGGAGGGGGTGTCGGAGTGGGGAGACGAGAGACAATGAGCCAGAGAGAGACACTTAATGAAGAAAAAAAAACTTTGAAAGAGACTAATCAGAAAGTAAGAATTTTGCAAGGACAAGAGATGGAACAAGGTAAGACAAAGACAGATGAGTGCTGTAAGAAGACAGGAGTGGGGTCTATGTGTGTGTGCTCAGAGCTGCCTGAGTATGTGTGTGTGTTTGTGTCAGTAAAAGTGTGTTCAGGCACGTATGCTCCCCCTAATCAATTATGCATTTATTAATAGAAGGCCTGAGAAGACAGAATTTCAAACAGCTGAACGGTGCAGCAGCTTAGTTAAACAGCTGAATGGTGCAGCTTAGTTAAAGCCTAATTTCTTTTTTAGCAGCACTCCAGCCTCTCTGCTATGAATGCCAATCAGCGTTTAAACCCCACCCCTCCTGGCTATAACCCCCTCCCCTCCCCCTGCTGTTCTGAAGAATTCTCATCAGAGCCTCGCCTTTGAAATGTACCAGAACCACCACATCAAACAAGCCTGTAGCACATGCGTAGGCACACACACACAAACACACTCATACATGCAAACAGATTCACACATACACATGCGGCCAAAGAAGCCACATAACAGAATTTATCTCAGAGTGGCATTTTTTTTTTTACCAGTGACCTTGGTGCCGAAATCTCTTTCAAACCACACCTTTATGGACACAGCCATCCTCTTAACCCATTCTTGCATTTTCCCTCCTCGCTGATGAGGAATGGAAGAACAACTTCGCTGATTTGTTGAATGCGGATGAGCTTTTACACCCCAAAGAGGCTCGACATAGATCACACACTTGCTAATCGGCTAAAAGAGAGTCCAAAAGAGTGACGAAGTCTGAATGCTAATGTGAAACTGATGGCTCATTAAGTCATATAGAGGTATGCGTCCTAAAAAGTGTAAAAGTGTTGAACCGAAGTGAAACATTGCTTTGCTGGTAGCCTATCAAATGCCATAATTTAGACTGGAGCAGCCACCGACTGATGAATATTTTACCTCATAAAACTGTCATCTCCATATTTAACACAGAAACAAGCCAATGCCCTTGTGAGATGGCTGTCAGTTAATTATAAAACTCTCTTCAGCAAAGAGAGAGAAAAATGCTCCAAATGCAACTCTTAACTCTCCCCCTACTGATATTAGGAGGCATCAGGGGAAATTTTCACATTTTCCCCTTTTTTGGGATGGAATTAATGTGACAGAAAGAAAGGCTCATTGCACAGCAGCTAGATGGTGGGAGGGGGTGGGGGTGTGGGTGGGGAGTGGGATGGCAGGAGGAAGTGCCAGGGCAGGGAGAAGAAAGGGGGGAGCATAGCATGGGATGAGCGAGTGTGCAGGAAGAAGGAGGGAGAGACGACAGAAAGAGGGAGAGCAGGGGGGAGGGATAGAGAGATGGGTGTGCATGCTAATTTTATCATTCTGCTGATAAACTTTTCCTCCAGTAATCCTCCAGCTGGGACGCGAGAACAGATAGGAGACAGGGATAGGCTCAGGAAGTCTCAGCTCATATTAAACAGCCATCCCAAACAGAACTCTCTGTTCTGTTCTCTTCTATTCTCTTCTTTTTTTATTCTATTCTATTCAATTCTATTCTATTCTGTTCACTTGCTATTTTTTGACTCTCACATTTTCTCCCATCCCTCTAAACAAAATAAGAGGGTCTGGTGCAGGTATGAGGCCATCTGCTCCTTCCCAAATGAAAAAAAACGTGTGTGTGGGTGTGCATTTATGTGTGTGCGTCTGTGTGTGTTATGGGACTTCCACATAACTTCCCTCCCTATACACATAACCCCCACCACCTCACTAAGTACCATGTCTGTCTGCTCCTCCTCACATCTGTTTATTTTCCTGCAATTTGTCCCCCTAACAAACAACGCACAAACACTCACACACACACACTTGCACACTCAGACAGAGAGGCAGGGACATGCATCAGTGTCATGTCCTCTGGAATCAATAACCAATCAAAGCAATCATTGCCTTTATAGTCCCTGTAACACACCATAGCAATCACACACATGCCCACCACACACTTCCACGCATACACGACCATGCGGTGACCCCAGATTACACACTCCATCTCACTTCTAGTTTTACCAGGCCCATTGAGGATTATAGATACATAATGCCATGTGTACAGATTAGGCATGACAATAAACTACTGATAGCCAAAGTAAGCCCTGCCTTATTGTGTGTGTGTGTGTGCGTGTGTGTGTGTGTGTGTGTGCTCACTAATACTGTACTGGCATGCATGAATAAACATGATGTGTAACAAAGCTGAATTGGAATGATGTCTCAGCAGAGAGACATAGAGTGTGTGCTTGCTTTCTGTATGTGTGTATGTGTGTGTGTGTGTGTGTGTGTGTGTGATCTGTTACAGAGCACATGAGAAGGAGACCTCAGTTCCTGCATCACATCATTCTGCCAGAAGGCTTTTATACTTGCTCCCAGAGTCACCCTGCGCTACAGACAAATGTGAGAGCAGCACTTAAACACCCTCTCGCAGACATGCGCACGCACAAACAGTGTGAAGAGTATATGTGTGTCTCTTACTGTTGGCGTCAGTGTCGTCACTCTTGGGAGGGGTGTGTCCTGTGTAACCAACTGCAATCCTGACCATTCGCTCTGGATTTCTTATCTTCTTCAGTCCTACAAAATGAGAAAAAAGGGACAAAAAAACAGAGACATATTTAGAAGATGCTCCACACTTTTGTTTCCTTGGCAGTCACACACACACCGCACCTCATTCGTCCTCCTCTAAAGTCCAGACATAAAACTCCATGTGATATGTATGTGGGCTGATCCATTTTCTGATCCACTAACTTGCATCCATTGTGTCCCCTGATCGATTGGCCACAGTAGATACACTGCCTCCGTGTGTGTGACTAACTTGTACCCAGCTTTAGTTTCTCTTCTCTCTCATCATTTCTCTGTTTCCCTGACCACTGTTGCTATGATACAAAGTAGACCAACCAGTGCAGAGGGAGATGGTCTTCCAGGCTATATGTTGGATATTGTTCTCATGCCCACTGGTGTACTCTGCTGATTGGCGCCACAGACATCTGCCAGAGGATGGAAAGAGTGGATGGCGGACTCCTGCCTCAGGAGCTGCGATACATTTGGCTTCCATTCAGCATGGCACAGGCTCGTAAATTATTACATCCTCTCTACACATAACATTAAGGGGTCAATGGAAAAAAAAACTGTCTGTTTGCATGTGTGTGTTAAGGTACAGTACAGTATAAGCAGGAGGGGGGTGGTTTTATATTCGTGTGGTACAGTGCCTGCTGATCTGCCCATGGGCCTTCTGTCTCATCTACAGTTCTTGTCTTTTCACGCAATGGGACTCTCAACCCACGGCCTTCCCTTTGCCTCAGGCAACACACTGCATGCTTGCCTGCACGTGTGTGTCTGACTTAAAGTGCTGTGCGCCTGAAAATGTGCTTCACAAATGTGTGATGCTACTTTAAGTTATTGAAAAATTGCCCCTTAGAGAAATCTTGCTCAACATTGCTCCCTAGTGGAGAGAGGGTCAAATGCCAACATGGCAGTTGAGGCACCCTCCACTAGAGGGTCGTTTTTGGCATCACTTTGAGGAGGAGATAAAAATAATAATAAAGAAAAGGCTTATTATTAAACTGATGTCTGAAACACATTTTCAGTGCTGAATGTCATAGTACAATTTTACGTGTCTCATCCATGACAGCGCATTTCTCTGTTGTGTTAAATTGCTTTGGTGAATTTAACCTTCTGTGACATCAGCAGTACTGAAAAGAGGCAAGAAAATGAAATTGAGTCTTAGAGCAGACCAAAAACAATGGGGGTGGGGGGTGTTTATAAACAAATGTTGAACACATTGAGGAAGTGATAAAGCTCCAATTAACCCATGAGTTGAGCTTGAGATAATATCGCCATGGTGATTCTGGCCATACCTTAAATAATTCATGAATGGATGAATAAGAATCTGAATGAAATGTGTGTGTATGTGTCTGTGTGTGTGTGTGGGGGGGGGGGGTAACAATAATGACCCCAAGAGTTTAGTTGAGGGAGCAAAAAAATGTAAACTATATTCATACATAATATGACCTAAAACTGACACACATACAATCCCCAAGGTACATGCAGAGAGATTCTCACCTTCACTGCCTCTACCACATACACAGGCTCAACACCAAATCATCACATACAGACATAAACACACACACACACACACACCAACATATGGTTAATGAATAAACACACAGCTGGACTGGGAGGCTGTGGGGCTGTCAGAGAAGGAGATCTACGATCCACTGGTCTAATTTTATGCTTTAAGAGGAATAGAGAGACAGATAAACACGCGCGCGCACATACACGCGCACACACGCACGGAGAGCATCTGAATTCCTTCAGCATTGAAGCTCTCTCTCTCATCCACATCCCGTTTAATGATTAAAAAACACTCTCGAGCCAGCTGCTCTGAGCCGAGACGCTGGCAAACACCGGACTGTATAAAAAAACTGTCCCTATCCCGGCTCAGTCAGAGCACCACCGACGGGACAACTCTCCTTCCGTTATTTATCTGCTGTCGGTTAACCGTGCTCCACACAGTCGCTGGTTCAGCACCAGCGTCCGTGTTTTCGGGACGGCAGGAGGAGGGAGAGAAGGGGGAAGAGCACCGCCGTCATCCATCTCCTCCGCCGTGCCTCCATCCCTCCACCGCCTCGAACATCAGGTCCCTGCCGCCATGAAATTAGAAAAAAACACCGTTATTTCTCTCTTACCTTCCGGCTTGTTTTCGGCAGCCATTTCCCCTCCACCGCGCGCCTCATCCCTCCTCCTCCTCTTCCTCCTCCTCCTCCTCCTCGACTCGACCTAGTGGTGGTGGTGGTGGTGGTGGTGGAGGGGAGGTGAGTGCGTGTGTGTGTGAGAGAGGTGGGGGGGTAGCCACGCGCGTGCACAGAGAGGACAGCTCAAGGAGGGGGGCGGGGCCGAGTTGAAGAAGGGGGGGCTGGGTGGGGACGAGCCTGCCGGGTTGAGCCCGCCGATTGGTCCGGGCGGTGATGATTGACAGCGGGGATCCGTGATGGTGACTCGCGGAATTCTCCATCCCTCCGTTTGCTCCCGCTGACCCCGCCCACCCCACCTCCTCGGACGTTCACGCGCACCCCCCTCCCCCCTCCCCTCACTCTCTCCCTCTCTCCTCACACGTCACTGAACGACGTCTGTATTCGAGGACACCTTGACAGCCTCGCGCATCATCATCATCATCATCATCATCATGCTCATCATCTTCACACACACACAGACACGTACGTGCACACACGCGCGCACAGAGGGTCGCGTGCGCGCTCCTCTCGTCACACGCAGACCCGGTGGACTGTTGAGAAGCTGCGATGTAAGGTCGCGTCTCGCCATAAAAGATGAACCCTCCCCCTTGAATTTAATGAAAAGAAGAAGTGCGTGAGAGACTTTTTAGATGCGCGTGGGCTGCTGCTGCTGCTGCCGCTGTCACCCGCCGTGGTGCTGAAGCTCGCGCTGGTGCTGAAAGGACAGCTCCACACGCGCCTACACAGGCTGCGATGGTGCACACTCACATACATGCTTCTTTTGAGCTGTGTTACTGAACTGAGGCGAGGACGGGTCAGAGGAGAACCCCCCCACCTCCCCCCCAGCGTCCTTGTTGTTGCCTGTCTATTTTGGCTCCGACAGGAATAACGTTGCTCATCGTTAAGTTATATCCTCACTGATGATAGTCTATTTCTAATTCTGCTGTTTTACACTACGCTAACCCTTCCAAAGAGAGTAGGGGCTTAACCGGGACCATTATGTTCCTACTTCAAGCCCTCACTGTCACTCTGTGCCTCGGGCGAGAATATCGCCTTTGCACCAAAGCCTTGTGTTTGACAGAGACAAGAAGCCACTAGACACGCTTCACGAAAAAAAGGATATGTTTTGAATAGTCCGTCCTCAGCTAAGTATTGTCTGTGTGTAAAGAGACACACAGGGTTCTTGGCATCGACTGGGTTCAGGCAGGATGGATGAGAATGATAAATATATATAAATATATATATATATAAGATATGGAGCCAAAATTAGATTTGGTTTAATTAAAACTGTTTAGTGATGGAAGAAACTAAGGCTGGGCGAAAAAACAGTATCAATATTTAGATCAATATATTTTTCATTAATGGCAATATACCAAAAGTCTAATATACAGTATATATATATATGTGTGTGTGTGTGTGTATATATATATCTATATATATATATAGATGTAATGCTTATGCTTTGAGCAAGAAAAATGAGGTATAACACATTATGATTCCAGATCAGTAAAGTGTTTATCATTCTCTGCTCATAAAGAAGGATTTAAAAAAACAACCTCCACCCAGGTGCAAAAATAAGGGTAACAGCAATAATAATGTGACATGTATCACGATAATAATAAATATCTAGTGATATGATTTTTTTTTTTTAAATCTTGATGATATTATTTTAAAGTGTTTTGTCCAAATTGCATAGACCCAGAAGAAACAATGCTGCATGTGCAGAAAGAACCGAACTAATCTTTGGCCTACAAATGATGTATAGCACAACAAACTTCGAATACATAAAAAAAAATGTAGTGGTGTTTTCACATAAGTGCTAAAATAATAAAATACAATGCTAGTTGAGTATTTTCATACTGCAGTGTTGCTACTTTTACATAAGCTGCTTCCACCATTGCAGCAACTGTGATGCGAATTAAAAAAGAAAGTGTGACTGGCAGCAGGGCACAGAACAGAGAACACGGGAAACAAGACTGGACCATCAAATTGGTAAACTGTGAAACTCCCCAAACCAGAAACAGCCATAATGGATCTCATTAATCTGTAGTGATTAAACCACTGAGCTGTCCTACATATATATATATCAATCAATTTATGAGGGTAGGGGGGTGACAATTTGCAATTATTAATAATAAGTGCACTTTGGTGACTAGTTTGCATGTAGCTTCAAACACAGCTGTGAAAACAGATAAAACTGTCACTCTGACATGAGTTGTTAGTGTAATATTGCTAATATTTGAAGTTACTGTAATTAAGAGTCATTTATTGCCCCCCAGGGTCCAGTGTAGCTGATGGGACACTCGTGTTAATGAGCCTTGTTAGCAAAGACGACGAGTTAGCCTCCGAACTGTTTCATCTGAGGAATAAAGGGAAGAATAAAGATGGTAGCGGAGTGTTTTCTACACACTGACAAACACAGTACTTTGTAAAAAAGTAGATACTCATCCCTGCGCTCTCTCCTCTCGTCTAAATTTGTCCTTTTCCTGTCTCTTTTTTTTCCGCTCAAACAAAACCAGCAGAGGGCGGACGGACAACTTCCGCTTCCCTCGGGGCTGACCAATGAGCTTTCAGAACACTGGAGCGGTGGGCGGGACCGGACCGAATGCGAACATGGCGGCGTCCTTAGACGATGATTTGGAGTTAAACAACCAGGATTACTACTCTCTGCTCAACGTCAGGAAAGAGGTGCGTTTCTATCTTTGTTATACCACGATCCGCGACGATGATGCTGATTTCTCGGAGCCATGACTGTCGGTAACACTTCCTGTGAGAGAGTCGGTGCATCACCGCTGCGTTGAATAGCGGTCTCCTCCATCAGCACCATGATCCGTGGAGCGGCTGGTGCTGCAGAGCAATGGACCCTCAGGGTGTTAAAACATGCACTTTACACGATGCAAGCAATGCACTGTATAATGTTTACACGGATACCATGTGTGCACCTCCCCAGGGCTCGATGGGAGGTTGATAAGAGGCCCGAGCAGGACCTACACTTATCCATCTGGATAACGTTAGGTAACATGGGACTGAGGCAGCCTGACAGTAAAACATTCATTGGTGGCTGTTTCTCAGCTTCTCCTAAATTGGTTGGTTTAATGTAGCAGTGTCCCACCAGCACTCTGGACTGATTGCTGAAAGGATTAGTCAACTGAATGCAAATCAGTCTGCAACAATTTTGACAGTCAAAAAGTGTATAAATACGTGAATGAATGAAATATGTTGCAGAAATCCAGGTTGCAGCCTTTCAAGCCTCGTGAAGACATCCTGCATTAGGTATATGATTTAATTGGTCTGGACTGGTGTTTAGACAAAACCAAGCAATTTAACAACCTTTTACAAACCAGGGAATTAGTCAGTTATTCACCAAAGCACACGGTGCATTAATCGGTAATGACAGTAATTGCTAGCTGCAGTCCTCAAGGAGTGAAACCTGTCCTCTCTCTAATTACAGGCTACATTGGAGGAGCTGAAGGCGTCGTATCGGAGGCTGTGTATGCTCTACCACCCTGACAAACATCGAGACCCAGAGCTGAAGAGACAAGCTGAGCAGCTTTTCAACCAGGTGCACCAGGCGTATGAAGGTAAATGGGATTTGAACCATTTCAATCTTTATTGCCATTCAACTTGGGGGAAAAAAAGCTGAGCTGAAAACAAAGTGTTCCCTCAGAAATGAAAACAGATTTAACGCCAGACAAAACACAGCAAATACATCTGCATAAACTAAATGGTGACCTCTCTCTTTCCTCTCAGTGCTGAGTGACGCTCACTCCAGAGCCATCTATGACATCTTTGGGAGTAAGGGGTTGGAGGTGGAAGGATGGGAGGTGTGTGTCATCTTTTTATCTCACATTTGATTGGTTTCGCCAAAATATTACACATTGAGTGTAAATTTATTTCTTATATCTTATGATGATGATGCTGTGTAGGTGGTGGAGAGGAAGAGAACTCCAGCAGAAATACGAGAGGAGTATGAGAGGCTGCAGAGAGAAAGAGAGGAGCGGAGACTGCAGCAAAGAACTAACCCCAAGGTTTTAACATCACATTCCTTTGCCACAGTTACTACTTTCACTTCTTGTGTGGGCCTCTACTTGTATGGGAACTGGGATTCTTGCTGTGAGGCAACAGTACTAACCACTGCATCACTGTGCTATCGTCACAACTTAATTTTGTTTTTGGATCTTTTCCACATTTGCTTCATCATACACCCAATATTCTTCCTTCGTTCGTAATTCATTCTTTCAATCCCTCACCTTCACGCCTTCTTTTTTCAGGGCACCATCAGCGTTGGTGTGGATGCAACAGATCTGTTTGACCGCTACGATGAGGACTTTGAAGAGTTGCCAGGAGGAGGCTTTCCTCATATTGAAATTAACAAGATGCACATTTCTCAGTCCATTGAGGTATAACTAAAAACACACAACACACAACATTTACCTCCTGCACGACCACTTACCTGGTTCAGGATCACTAGAGTTTATCAGACAACACTTCTTTCTTCAGGCTCCTCTGACCAACTCTGACACAGCAGTGCTGTCTGGTTCACTCTCTACACACAATGGGAATGGAGGGGGCAACATCAACATGACTGTGCGAAGGGTTACTTCAGCCAAGGGCTGGGGAGAGGTACACACAAATGCACACATGCATGCATTATATAAAGCACAAATATATCCTCCTACCTGAAGAGGCCTTTTAAAGGATGAATTTCAAGATGGGACAAAACAGCTTTGGTTGGTGATGTGTGTACAGTCCCTCCCCTCTATTTGTACATATGTCTCTGCAGGTGGAGTTCGGTGCTGGAGACATCCTTGGGCCTCTCATTGGGTTAAAGGTGTTTCGCAATGTCACTTCACGGTGGTAAGGTCCAGCTGTTTGACATGTGGAACAATAGCACTTACTGTACAAACAGAAGAACAAGATTCTCCTTCTCTTTAATTTAGTCTCTTATAAATCTCTTTGTCTTTTCTCTGTCCAGTTTCTTGACAGCCCAGTGTGGTCTGCAGTTCTCTCCTCGAGGTCTGCGACCAAGCTGCTCTCTGATGACAGCACGCCACCTGGACCAGAACACCATGGGTTACCTCCAGTGGCGCTGGGGGCCAAATAGCGCCATGACCACCAGTCTGGTCCGAGACACAAAGAGCAGCCACTTCACTTTAGCTCTGCAGGTACACACAAATACATTCACCAATACTGCCACTGTTTGTCATTAGGATTATTACATTGCAGTACGTTAACATTTCTGTTAATGTCTCCCGACCCCATCCTCTTATAGCTGGGTGTGCCACACTCCTACCTGATGATGAGCTACCAGTACAAGTTCCAGGATGAAGACCAGACCAAAGTCAAAGGCTCTGTCAAGTATGTCTGACATAAGAATTGTTCTCTCTTTAAAAGAAATCGGGATTATGAGCAAATATATGACAATGCACAAAATTATATATACTGTTTATTAGCTGATACGATTTTCATATCAGGGCAGTTTGAAAGGAAAACTGAACACCAGCCGTTTTTTTGCTGACGTCTGGAAGAGGTGCAGCTTTCACTGCTGGATGTGCACCTCTTTGCTTTTCTACCTGGTTTCAATTTGCTGTTTTTTTTTTTTTTTTAAGAAATGTTTTTATATCCTGTTAAAATTTAAAAAAAGGTTTGGTAATAATTCCTAAAGAAAACAAGAGAACTTAGCTTTTATATCCTTGTACGTCAAATATCCTTTATAAACCATTTAATAACATGACTTCGAAGTCACAACTTAATTGACTTGAGTGCTTAGTGCATAGACAGGGAAATAAAAGACAATGACAGGACATAGGCAGCATTAAAAGAGCAGCAGTAAGCAACTACACCATCCATCCATTATCTATACAGCCTATCCTTTGAGCGTCATGGGGGCCAACAATCTGCATGTGTTTGGTCTGTGGGAGGAAGCTGGAAAAAACCCACACAGACATGAGGGGAACATGCAAACTCCACACAAGAAGCTGGGATTCAAACCAGGGAACCTTCCTGCTGTGATGGGACAGTGCTAACCACTGTGCTACTGCAACTACACCACATAGGAGAAAAATATAAAAAAGGAGCCTCACTCTAAAAATAATAAAACAATCAAGTCAATTTACAAATAATGAAAGAAAACATACACGTTGTTAAAACTGCCATTAGACACAAAAGCTATATTTGATCCCTGAGCGTTTGAATCCAGTTCTATAGGCTGTTTACACTGTCTCATTCTGCCCGTGTGATTGCCTTCAATAGCTCAGCCCCATGTCTCTGTTCACTCCTGGCTCCCTCTCTCTCCAGGACAGGCTGGTTTGGCACCGTGGTGGAATATGGAGCAGAGAGGAAGATCAGCAGACACAGTGTCCTGTCAGCCACTGTCAGCGTCGGCGTCCCGCAGGGAGTCACGCTCAAGATCAAGTACTGGCCAACCCAAAACATTACCTCACTCCACTGTGGGTCTCTGTCCTGATGCGTGATTATCTAACTCACATGCATGTTTGTGCTGGTGTTTGCATGCAGGTTGGCGCGTGCCAGTCAAACCTACCTGTTTCCAGTCCACCTGACGGATCAGCTGCTGCCCAGTGCCGTCTTCTACGCCACCGTGGGACCCCTTCTGGTTTACTTGGCCATCCACAGACTGGTTATCATCCCGTATACACATGCACAGAAAGAACAGTCAGTACAGCTCCTCAGTCAGCATCCTTCTTTGTCAGAGTAGATAATCAATTTTACCTTAATAAAAAATGTTCATGATTCAGAGGGAATTTAATACATTTCCCTACTAATTATCAAGTTTATTCTAACCTATCTTTTAATGTAATTTGTGTAAGTATAATAAGGAGTTAAATCTTGAAACTTTGTTCTTAAGCTAAAGACAACTCTATCCCCCCTGATTTGGGCAGACGTGCATATTTTCAGCCGTGGGTGTCGTTAGTACTAGAGAGTGTTTTACTCATGTCTCTGATGAATCCTAGCGGGTGATTGTTGATGTCTGCTTTGTCTGTCTGTGTGCTTCACAGAGAGCTGGAGCTGCAGAGGAAAAGCTCCGCCACAGACATCGCCAAGAAGAAGCAGGAGGCAGAGTCGGCTGTGAGCACTCACACACTCAACATGCAATCAAACACGTATTCATTGTGTGTGTGTCTGTGTGTGTAGGGGATCACTGTTTCTGGGCTCAGCTCTCCTCATCTTGTCTGAAAATCTCTCTCTCCTCCCTTATCCTATTCCTATTTCACACTCCTCCTCCTCCGACTCCCTCGGCTCCTCTGCAGGTTCTGCTGATGCAGGAGTCTGTGAGGAGAGTCATAGAAGCAGAAGAATCCAAGATGGGTGAGGGAAGGCACTCACACAGACACGCACGCACGCACACACACACACACACACACACACACACATTTACTCCCAGACATTACACCAGGGTGAGAAACTGAGAATCTTTTTAATTTGCAGTCAGACAGAACTTGGTAAAAATCCAAATGTGGAATGCATACACATTTCTCATGGTTGCTGTCAACAGCGTAATATACCAGCTCCAGGTTTCTGTTTAGCTAAGTCTGACTTCCATCATCTTCTGCTACGCAGTCAGACGGTGATGATGTAGCCCATCTCCACTCTGAAGTGTTACCTTGTTATGCTTGTACACTAGAGTGCACTCTCAAATAAATCAAAACTGTGACGTCAGCGGGCTAATGGATTTCATGTTATATTAATATAGAGAGTGTATCATTATTTGGAGAGCTGCTCTATGGGATGTGTTCAGGTACCTTCTAGACAATAATTCAAATTGCTCCATATTATTTATATCAAGCAAACGTAGTACATACGACTGTTGTAACCTCCGCCAAGGTTGTTTTAACCCCTGTCTGTTTGCTTGTTGGTTGGTTTGTATGTTTGATTACGCAAAAACTACAGGAGGGATTCCCATGAAACTTGGTGGAAGGATGTGGTATGGGTCAGGAAAGAACCCTTCAAATTTGGTGCTGCGTTTTTTTTTTAACATAGCAAGATAGGTCATTGTATTTAACATTTTCACTGATTTCTCAAGGAGTAATTCTTGGATCTGGATGAAAGAAACTATGCGCATTTAGGGTGCTGTTATCTATTAGTGTGTTCGAAGGGGGATTGTTGGGTCTTGGCGGAGGTACGTACTCCACTGAGTGTCAGTCACAACATTGTTGTTGCATATGTTTGCACAGCTTATCATTTACAAATATTACACATATCGTATATCACCGTCTAGGCTTGATCATCCTGAATGCCTGGTATGGAAAGTTTGTGTCAGACACCAGCCAGAAACAGGAGAAAGCAAAGGTGATCGACGTCACTTTGCCCCTGCAGTGTCTGGTCAAAGACTCCAAACTCATCCTCACAGAGGCTTCTAAGGTGAGTGTGTGTATATTCACGTCAGTGTATGCAACTGTGCATGAGTAAATCTACCTGTATGCATACGAGTGGTTTATCTGTGTGCAGGTTGGGTTGCCGGGCTTCTATGACCCTTGTGTAGGAGAGGACAAGAGCCTTAAATTGCTGTACCAGTTCAGAGGTGTTATGCACCAAGTCATCTCTGCAGACACTGAGCCTCTACGGATACCCAAGCAATGTTAGTATGCAGCCCCTTTACCTTTACCACCCAATGTTATTCTGTCGCTGCGTGCTAATTACAACATGGCTAACGCTTGTATGCATTATTGCTGTATTGTTGTTTTGCCTTTTCAGCTCACAGAATTGAAGCCGAGTCGTAGGAGCTCACTGCTGTTGAGGCACCAGAGGGCGAACGCAGATAAAACAGACCTTTTGTGAACAGACGAACCCATGAACGGAGAGAACACATGAAAAATAACTTGGTTTCTCTCCTTCAGTCCTCTTCTATCATAGTATTAGTGAATCTGTTTATCGACTTCCTCCACCCCCTCCTTCCTGTGGACCAGGAGTCAACACAGTTTCTACGAGGTCTCACCCCTCGGGTCTCTGGTCGACCACACCTGTCAGAGTTGCTCACTTATCTGCCTGCTGCTGGAGATCTGAGATTGGCTCTGAACATAGTTTTACATGTACACAGAGGGACCTGTGGTCACTGCGGACGTGGTGGCTGTTCCCTTCCATGGTGAGCTAAATGTACAAAGATGCATTTAAAAATGTTTCTTGACATTTGTCAAGACAGGTATAGACAAATAAGCTGTGCTGTAATTTTAACCCTTATCATTGTTGTCTTTGTCCTGTATGTTTTAACACCCTGGTAGTTGAAGCCTAATAATGTTATAACATACCAGTCATGCAAATGTTTAGAGTAACACTATGCAGGACCATGTATTCATGTCTGTGGGCCCGGGGTCGACCATGTAACTGTTAACTTGTTGAAAATGTCTCTTGCTAATTTATTTTGCCTTTCATTGACATGTCTGCTGCTGATTCGGAAACAGGACACAAACTGGTGCTCGAAACTTGTATATGTGTGGGTTTGGAAATACTGGGAGGGAAAGTGTTGGTGATGTTCCGACCTATAGACCATACAAAGGTGGACGATGCATCTCCACTTCCTTCCACTATCCAGAAATGGAGCTAAAATACCTGAATACTACCATCTTGCACATTTAAAACCAGAGTCTGTGCACACCGATGATGAGCACTGTCATATGACATTTCACCCTGATTTTATAGCATCAAATAACTAATTAAATTAAAACCAACATGGAGCTCCATGGGCTCATGCTGGGGGATATTTCTCACATCTCAGACTAGACTGCATTTTAAAGACACAAAATCCTCATGGGTTTGATTTGTGTGTGTTTATTGATTGACTCTGTGCAGTTTCAGCCAAAACCCTTTTTTTTTTTTTGTCCTTACTATAATTTTTTTGAATGCTATAGTTCATGCATCACTGGTGTGTATCTGGCAGACAGCCAGTGATAACAGTAAATATGGATTTAAAATGTGTTTCAAATGGAGATATAAATGAAGGATCTTTTTTCTGGTTGGGATGCGACCACTAGAGGGCATAGATCAACACTGTCTCTGCTGCTGAAGAGCTCACTGTGACAATAACTTGTGACTGGACCTGACCTGAGCCACACAAATCATTTTACCCAGTATATGTGAATTTGGTGTTAAAAAAACAGGAATGTGCATCATTTCTGTGCCATATCTTCTACTACTCTTTGTTTTCTCTATTCTGAGTTGAATTTCTGAAATGCAGTGCCACTTCTTTTTTGTATAGATACATAAAGTACAGTTTTCAGACGTCATGTTTATGCCTGTCATTAAGTGATAATCTATACTGTTACTCACCTTTGGTAGCCATTTTTGATCAGTGAGGTGAAGCTGACATGAAATCTTGTATCCCATGATGCACTTTCTTTTGAGATGTAGTTGTGTGGCGGAGATGTCCCAATGTGTGTCCACTGGAGGTGGATTTGCACTGTAACTGCAAAGGGAAGAGTGAGAGTTAGTCATTCCTCATTTTATCTGGGAACGCTGTAATGAGTCATGATCCCTGTGCACTCGACTGTATGATAGAAATGATACAAGTATTTTACTGAACACAATATTTTGCACAAAATGTACAGTATTTAAAGCAAAACTGTGTCTACTTGGGAAATAGCTCTTCATTGATCTCTCATGCAGCAGTGATTGGTCCATTTGTCTTCACATGGCGTAGTCTCCTGATAGATTCTGATTTTGCCATTAGTGGCAAATTCATGGATCTTCTGTCTCCACAGTGAGATAGTTGTGTTAACTTTAAGTCGCAGTTACAGCAGCCATTTTGCACTGAACCTGATTCCAGTTTTGTCTCCTTTTTAATTATGAGTTGTCTGTCAAGCATTTTTACAGGTCGGCTCTGCTCTAGTGCCACCATGAGGCCAGCAGAAAGACTGCACCCTGCTGTTGCTTCCCAACCCATCATCCGAACTGACCCACGTTATGTAAATGTACTGAATGGTTGAGAAGCCTGTATTCTTTGTCCTGTAAAGACAACAGTAAATGTGAAGGGAAAAACCATGTGTGGTGTTTGATTTTAAGAGCACCGTAGAAGAAAGACGGATTCAAATATGCACTGACATAGAAGTCAGAAAGACAAAAGGTTAAAATGGTAACTCTTTATTTACAATAGTTTACAATAGTTTCACAGAAACAGTTTGCACCACAGTACAGACAACGCTTTCTCAATAGGGGAATAGGACAACCCAGGATCAGAATAAACGAGCTGTATCACAATGAGCATTGTTGACATTATTAATCTGAAGTCTTCAAGACGCAGACAAATGTTAGGAACTTGTGCCTGAAGGCATCTTCAGGTTCTCCTCAAGACATGAACGTCCTGAGAAACAGCAAATGATTTCAGGTCTTGAAACGCCTTTACAAAATAAAAACACATCAGGACCTGGGTGATTGCTGGGTAGGATCCAGTTAACCAACATATGTAAATACTCGAAGACAGATGAAAAGTCTTGTTCTTACATACCAAAAATTCATCGTGTGTGTTAGTCGTTCCCTGGTCAAGTCATCGATTCTGCATTGTAAAACCCATCCTGGACTAATATCCAAGGTTGTGAGTCTAAAATCTGTTACTCTACAGTATGGCTTTTGTGTAATCAGTAACAACATGTAGCCTACACAGACAGGCCCAACAGCAGATGGCACATGAATAACAAAGCTTAAAATCTTTCCTCCAGATTACAACAAGTCTTAAGGGGAAAAGGTGTCCTAAAAAACTAAAAAACTTTTTCCATTAAACTTGCTGCATATGGAAGTAACTGATGACTGCTGTGAAAATCCTCGCAAGAGGTGGTAAGAGACTGAGATCTGTTCTTCTGATCTGACCCTTCAGAGACAAACAACACACTGACCCTGCCAACGGTACTATGCTGATATCGAATTCTCCCTCTTACAAAAGACCTTAAACCATGTGGCTTAGTTGAGACAAGTCATAGCAGCACATGCAACACCCTCGCAGTGTTAACCATTCAAACAAACACACTCACATGCATAATGTCAACTGGACACTTAAAAGAATCTCTCTAACCCCACTATTCCAGTTATGATACGTTTTTTGTGTTGATACTCTAATAGGACGGCCACAGCGGTTCCCTTCTATAAATATATTCGTCTCTGTGTTGAGCATGACACATTTTGAAAACTGAGGAAACGTTAAATAACTGTTTGTGAACAACGCAACTCTATAACCCTGTCTTGAAATACAGCAAAATCATGTTGACCACATTGAACAGAGGACAACTTTACTGAGAACTGAGTATCTGGGTCTTTAACTGTAGGATAACAAATTATTTTTATATGAAAGAACTTCTGGTGACATAAGAACACCATTTGAACAGCGTGAGAAAGCTCCACTTGTAGTCAAGCAACATCTTGATTCAGAGGCTGGAAGACAACTTGTGAAGTAAAAGGAACAAGCGTTTAGTTCAGTTGTATGGGCTTAAAGCCTCTGTGATATTTTTTCACAGTGTCATAAATAACAAAACAGAACAACAGACGGATGAAGCAGATGCAGACTCTAGTCTTATCCTACATCTTTGTTCTATTGGTTTATACCTCAGCTTAATACTATAGCACCATCTGAAGCAATTAAAACAAGGCTTAACTTATTTTCTTTTTATAAACGGTTAATTATGTAACATTTTTAGAGGCATCTTAGAGAAATAAAATCCAGTTTCATCAGAAAGACATACCTGTCCATGTGACAGAAAAGTAAGATGGATTTAGAACTAAGAAAAAAAAGTGAGAAAAAGTGCAAAAAGTCTTTCCCACAGATCCCAGCATGCACCATAGTGGGTGGCAGTTGTGAGGGTTTTCTCTCAATATGGCAGTTCAAATGTTTCCAGTGTTCACAAGACATCAAGTCCCAACAGTAGCGGTTTGCTGCTATGCTAATATCATCTACAGACAGACTTCTATTCAGTGATTGCCTTACGCAGACTCTGTAGGAAAGCAGAAACAAACCTTGGTAAATCCAAATTAGCACTCCAACTGTTTTCAAATGGAATAAGGGCTTGGGATAGGTCCACCAAAAGTGTATATAGAAAATGTGGGTTCATGGCTGACCATGAGGGACAGAGACTGAGTGGTCGAAGACCTGATACTGAGGAGGGGTCAGTCCAACAGGTGGAGAGTAGCAGGAGAGGAAGTGGTAAGAGTTTAGGATTCAGATTGGGGTCAATCTAGCAGGTGTTTGCGCGGGCCTACGCGTGAGCGATGGGAGCGGCGGGCATCTGGGACTCCATGTGTCTCTCGGCAGCTATGGCAGACGTATGTCTCTGGCACATGGCTCTTACGAATCTTGGCGCAAGAAAGGTGGATCCAGGTGTTGCACTTGTTACACTCGATCATGGCCCGACCCGCAAAAGGCTTCATGCAGAAACATGTGACCAGGTCCCACGAGTCGTCATCTGAAGAGACAAGAGAGAATCCACTGAGTCAAGTTTGTCCACATTGTCCAACTTATACCAATTCAATATACACAACGAAACAAGGTCTCACCTGAGTCTACCATGATGTCCTCATCCTCTCCCGATCCATCTTCGTCTCTGAACACCACCTGTTTCCCCTGTCGGAACACCGTTCTGCTTCCTGAAAAGCCCTCCACCTTCTGTACCTTTACCACTCCTTCTTCGATGTCTCGACCACCCCAGTTACTGTGCTCCTCTTTGGGCTCCTCTTTGCAGGGGGACGGGCTAGGCAGATGCTGGGAGTGAAGTGGAATGCTGATATCATCTTCAGGCTCTTCTTTGATCATTCGGCCACCAAAGGACACAGGGAACTGCATGTCTGGTACTGGCAAGATCGCCTCCTGAGTCTCATCGACCTTGTCGGCCTGATGCTCCTTTCTCCTCTTCTTCTTCAGCTTGTCAGCTTTCCTGCGGTCATCTGGGTGGAGGGTGGTGATTGTTTGCTGTGGAAGAGGAAAAAAAGCATCATGTATATCAAAAGGGGTGAAAGTGAACAAGTAAAATTGTTTTTAAGGTGTGATGGGACATCAATTCAACTAACATCTCTCTTGATGTGACTGGACAGTGTGGATCCTGACTGTGGACGTTTCCTGCTCCTGTCCTGCGGGACCTTTGTAGGGCGCTGTGGGCATGAGGACGGGGGTCCTGAGGTCCAGCCATCACTGTCAGCTGTGCTGCCTGTACTGTTGGGGGGGCTGGAACTACTACGCAGTGGAGAGTCCTGTAGCAATAAATGGACAAGTGGCAGTCAGAGAGTTAAAAATCACATCAGGAGAAATAGCTAATGTTAAAATGACAATTTTTTACAAACATTCAACAAATAGAGGATTATCAATCAGTACTTTGCCACTGAACTAAGCATTAGCATTATATTGTAGCATTATATCCTGCTTATGTTGCCATTGCAGCTTCAGACTATACAGATTTGGAGACATGTAATTCTTATGTAAATTGCTGTTTTGACTGAAACCATGGAGTCTATACATATCTACTTCTTAAAATGTAAGATTATTTTAAATGATCCATATACTATCTCAAGAGGCACAAAATCCATTAAATCTTTGATAATATATTGTCTTCATTAATTCACCACAAACCTCTTGATTGAACATAGTGTAAGACTTTTAAAATGCAGTCATCCACTCCGTATGTCTTTTGATTCGATTTTGTTTTCTTTCTACTTTACTATGTTATTTTAACTGTTTAAGTGACTTAAGCTTGGTAACATTAGGAACCATTATGTAACTCTAAGAAACATTCCTTAGGTGAACAAGTGTGCTAGCTTCGCAACAACAAAACAGGTGGTTGTGTGACGATGCATGTAAAGGAACGATCGGCTTCATTTACTCACCTCTTGGGGGTATGGGATGTAACCGGCATAGGCCAAGACAAAAGTGCAAAACTTGTTAAAATCCTCCACTGTCCTCCTCCTCCTGAATGGCGGACTGAAACCCTGAAACACAATCAGGTCGTTGAGACACAAGCTGTATCATACCAACACATCTCGACATGGCGTCAACATTAAGAGCTGATCGCCACAGTCACTGTTGACTGACACTGAGTGCTGATTCGGGACGAAACAAAACCACAACCGGCTGATTAACACGGAATAAAGTTTGATTACCTACAGGGACATTTCTTTCTGGACTTGCCTGGGAACCTCCTTTACCAACCCCCACCGATTAGCACATTTAAAACGACAGCTAACGTTAGCTCGATCGGATAGCAAACACAGCAGATAAGAAACTAATGCTAAGGGGCTAGCTGCTGGCTAGAGTCGGTGGAGTTTAACTGACGAATAAAACCATGACGGTATACACGACTTCACATTGAAGACAACCACAGAGTCTGATAAGCATCAGTGTTGCTCAACTGTTAGTCGACAGTAAACCCATGTAGCGTCGTTAGCCAACGCTAATGTTAGCACGCTCCGCAGTGATGAAGAAGTGTTTTCTTATCGATCAAGCCTCAAGCTAACGCTAGTTTCATACGAGGCATCTAAGTTACTCACAAAGTACCGTCCAAAGAATCGTTAACGACACATTCACATACAGAATGTGAGGCTTTAGACATGCAAGTTAGCCGTGAGTGCTTTACGTTAATAACGTATGCAGCAGTAGCTATATTATATTATGTAAACATGAGCACAGTAGGCTAACGCTAAGCAGCAGCTACCACACCGTGTGATGACAGACCTCACGGTGCTGGGGGGTTGACGTCTGCTAACGTCGTTAGCCGTGACTGCAAACAACTCAGCATGAAACAGTTACATAAAACACTTACCTCCGACTGAAATGCGTGAGATGTCGATGGGTCGATGTCGCCCATCTTTCCCGAACACCCGACCACCTGGCGTTTGGTCGATAACGTGACAGTCTACAGCGGCGGGCTGCTCGATGCCACCATAAACACCGAGCACACCGAGCTAACACCTACCGCTAAGGCTAACGTTAACGGTACCTATGCTAAACTCGAAGCAACAGCGTTCACTCAGTTTGCCACCGAGATTACATGGCTTGGACCAACAACAACTGATCCAGAGTCAGCCAGTCGGATCAAAGTTATAGAAAAACGTGTCTCCCGTGAACCGTGGACGATTCTACTACGCGTCCATCAACCTCCTGCCCGGTAACGTCTCAGTTTCACCCAGTGAACTGACGGCGATCGTCGCTGCTGCTGGGGGAGCGGTTCACTTCAGCTGTCACTCCTCTCTTCTTCTTCTCCTCTGTGTATATGGAAGCGAGTGAACGAAACAGGTGCATTACTGCCCCCTTTTGGTGTGGAGCTTGTGTTAGGTTCTGAACATGAACTGTATATAATCTGAATGAATGAATGAATGAATAAATAATACCTCCCACTAGACATGTTTCAAGACTGCTGTGAAAGAAATGAACTACTGGACACAGTACTTTCTTCTTCTTCTTTAAAAACATTTCTAACTGTAAGATATTTGTTGTAAATACCCAAAACACAAACACTCTGTGAGCCTGTTAATTATTACAAGTCTTTCCCCCGAGATGAAGCCTTAGTTGTGTCAGCAGTGTGTTTAAGGTCATTTTCTGGCCACATGACATAATTCCTCCTGATTGGTTTGGATGCATTTCTCTCATTGCTCTGTAAACTGGCAGACAACCCTAACACTAATGCTACCATCATGTGTTACAATAAAGTACTTCACAGATGACCCTGTAGCCTTTTTCTCTCTACATACCTTGGCCACTACATCAATTTGGTTTGGTGTCATTGCTCTAGAAATCTTGGTTTATTCTTTTTAACAACAAGCACATTCTTCACAAGAGAATCTCAAGGATAAACCCAAGTAGACATTTTGAGCTCTTTAAAACACCTCTCATATGCATGTTAAAATATTTTTGCTCATTTGAAAAATAGGTTTAAACCACAGACTGTATATAAAGATGGACGACGCGTCTCTACTTCATCCAACATCCAGTGTGTCCTCTAGCAGTCTTCTAAGTCCTCTGATACACTCCAGCAGTGGTTAACAGGTGAGTCAAATCACAGGTCAAAATCACAGCCAGATATTTTGATAATTTGAATCTTTTTTTATTTCACTATATCGCACTGACACAGAGATTCAGGCATGGATAGTGATCTCAGTCATGGCATCAACAGACGCAGAATCACTTCCTGTTTGGCAATTTGTCCTCTCAGTCAAAGCACATTGTTTGTCTTGTTGCTGCAATGCTTCATACTGAGCTACAGGCACATGCACAGACATTTTTGGTAGCAGGTGCTCAAGCCAAAAAAAATATATTCATAAAATTAAGAAAAAACACAGTAGGATATATTTCACTTATATATTTATTTTTAACACAATCAACACAGTCCAATCAAATAGGGTAACTCAAATGATCAAATTGAATAAATATATGAATAACAGGCAAAATATGTCATATTTTGCTGACAATGTACAGAAGTCATTATTTTTAAAAAGGTTTACTGAAGGAATAATTACACACCTAATGACCTTTTTATTTTATCCGTACCACACATAATGCTCTTTATTTTTTAACATCTGATAAGATGTGACAATAAAACAAAAAAAACAAAAAAATAATAAAAAGTAAAAAAACAACTTCCATATGTTCTGTGGTCAATGTCATCACACCCACTCAGTCTTCATCTTTTGTCGGAGGCAGTTGTTTACATTTTTTAGGTTTTTTGCCTGTATCAGAGAGAGGAGACATTTGAATGAGCCCTCATTTTTCACAGTAGACTTTTAGTTTTATCTAAACTAAAAGTCTACTAAACACCAGCTAGTTAGTTTTAAATGTAAAATGTTTGGTTTGGTTGACTGTACATATAAACCAAATGCACAGGTAAGGGTCAATGGGACAGTATCTTAAACATTTGCACTAAAGAGAGGTACAAGCTAAGGAGATCCTCTCTCCCCACAATTATGCATGGAACCTTTAGCTGAACGCATCAGACAAAACTAAATTATAAGATGATTAAAAATTGGAAAAGAAGAACATAAACTGGCCCTTTACACAGATGATGTGATGGTGTTTCTCACAAATGTCAAGCCATCGCTATTGTTAATGGAAGAAATAAGTATATATAGCTCATTCTCAGGTTATAAATTAAATATTCATAAAACAGAAGCCATGATAATAGGAAAACAAATGGATAAAAGGATTTAAGAGAAAATTCAACTGTAACTGGAAATGTACGGAAATGGTTAGGTTCCGGCAAGTGTTTTGAAAATATCTCATAAGTATTATATACCAAATATTTCTTAGATTACTGCAAATAAGAAGTTATTTAAGAAATAAACAGATAAAGGACATGGAGGATATTCCCCCTTATTGAAATATGTTATGAAAAATTATCATGGAAAACTGAAAAATAGAATAGGCAGTGTCTACAGAACATTACAAGGGAAGGATGAAACAAATGTTGGTATTATGAGGACAAAATGGGAGAAAAGAGTTGGGAATACCAATGACAGTAAGTATCAAGGAAAACTAAGTTCTCAGTGCTGGAGGAACATGCCGTGAAAGTAATGCAAATTGAAACGTGTTTTTTATTCATTTAAAATATTAAATGCATTTTGTTTTTTTTAATTTATTTTTTAGAATTTTGAGAACCACAGCACTGAAACCAATAACAAAAGGGTGGAAAACAAACAAATACCCTGAGATTAAGATTTAGATTCCTCTTTATGGTCCCACACACAGCATGCAACATGCAAACATGGGGAAATTTAACCTCTGTATTTAACCCATCCGTGGGAACGGAGCACACACGGAACACACAGAACACAATCCACACAGTGACCACACACGGAACAACCATGAAGGCGCCCGGGGAGCAATTGGGGGGTTCGGTGCCTTGCTCAAGGGTACCTCGGCTATCACACATCAAACACCCAAGTTGAATATGATGAATAAAAGCTATATTTTTAATCTAGATATAATAGCTGTGTCTGATCTCTGACAGAAACTGGGCACTGATGACAGTGTGAAAAAGAGTCAAAGTTTGGGCATCTAAATCCACCTGATCATTAGCTGACATTTGATTTGCATACACAGTGAGCTGAAGGGCAGACTTTGAATTTGTCATAGCTTACTCAGGTCTGTAAATTGTCTGTAAACACGCAATGTGTGATAAATGAGTGGAATATTTCAAATGTAAACCCTTTATGTGAAAAGCAATTCCAAAATCAGGTTCATGTTATGAAAAACATTGATTACGAAATCTTGACTGCAAAGAAACCAGGTAGGATGAACACAGAGTTTTCTTCACTCTGCACCATGTACTGTTTTTAAAAAGCTCTGCACACAAACAATAAAAAGTGACAGTATTGAGTAGAAGAGTTTGAGGAGGACTCACCGAAGACAAGGAATAACTCTGAAGTAGCTCAGAGAGCAAGAGAGAGAGGGAGAGAACAGCACGTTCCATCCATCAGACAGGACCGTAGTAACACCAAAGAAGAAGAGCGTTTCACCGGAAACGTGTGTTGTCGTGTTCTGGAGTTCGGAGTGTTTGATTCAGGGTGTTCGCGGGTCTGACAGCTCAACCTCAGTTTCAAACTATAACTTCCACACATGTCGTGTTGAACATGTCGGACAGCAGACTCCTCGGTTTCCGGAGCTTTCTCACGGAGAGGTTCACCTCCGCGGCTGCAGAGGTGTTCGAAGAAGTGGAGTCCATGATGGTGGCTTATCACGAAGAAAACAAACGTCTCAAGAACATACTGCGCGTCGTACTCAGCCCCGAGATTCATCTGCAGAGGATAGGTCTGTCCCTCTTTACATACAGCCTATGGTCTGTCCCTCTGGTTGTAGCTAAGTAGCATTAGCAGAACGCTGCTAAGTTTATGTGTTTCTGCAGTGACACACAATGAGCTCGCTGAAGTGTGTAGTGGAACATAAACAGTGTGGGACAAACATTAGATGTCACTTCCTGTTTTCTCTGAAGTCAACTTTCTTTATTTAGTAGAGAAGAATTAGTTATAATCAATGATTAATAATCAATCAATCCAGCAATTAGTTTAAATTTGTAAAGCACCTTTCACACAATAACATAGTTCTTTATACAACGAAAAATGATCCACACTCAGTTCATCTGACACAGATTGAGATGCTTTTACAACATGATTTTAAAAGCAACTCAGACTCCAGACTTACTAAGAGAAGCAAGATTATAGTCAACATATATTTGTGTTTGTCTCCCCCCCTACAATAGATGTTGGTGAATGCACCAGAGCAACCACAGATGTCAGAGAGCAGCCACCCGAGCGGAGCAGTGAGGCGGACCAGGAAATATCTGAAACACCGGCCAAAAAACCCAAAGAAGAGCCGATTGAGTGGGTGGTAGGTTTAGGATCAGAACCAAAACAAGAGCCAGAAGGAGATGACCGAGCAGTTGCCTCAGAATATGTGCAAAAAGAAGAACCAGCAGAAGACGGAAACACGTCATACGTCACTGACACATTCAGCATTCAAGTGGAGAAGTACACCCCTGGCCCTTCGGAGACCGTCTCAGTTGAAGGCATGAGTCTTAACGATGAGCAAGCCTCCTCTTGGGACTCAGATTTATCACCAATGCTCAGTAGTGAAGAAAGTGACAATGAAAGTCAGGAAACTCAAAGATATAATGTCACATCATCCAAGGTAAGCTTTACAAAATATTGTTGAAAAAACCTTCATTTTTTTTTGTGAACGCTATTTATTTGAGTGGCAAAACACAGAGTTCACCTCATGTGCTTAATTATTCCTTAATCACTTTATTTAATAAATGTTTTCTAGTAATGTGGAAAATGTGAAGCGTTGTTTGCTGTTTCCTTTAAGTTTTTCCAGACATTGTTGTAAGGTTATTTCTGAAATTTACACAATCTAGTCTCCAGCCAAGAAATCCAAATGTGCTTCGTCTGGCTCACTTAGCCCTACTTTTATTTCATTTTAAAGGTTTTTCGACAAAACTAAATACCAAAGTCAAACTAAATAACTTGACCTTGACAAAAAGATGCATATACAGTAGTTTCTATGACAGAGCCCCTGGAAATATTCAGGAAAATCTTTTAATAAAAGCAATGGAAAACATCTCAATTGAATAAAGGACTGGAATAGACTGTTTTGTTCACATGCTAGTTCTTCAGAGCATAAATGAAGAGTGTTTTCTTTTCTAAAAATGTGAAAATAGATGAAGCCAGAGGAAGCCTTTCAGAAAACCATGCTAGAATTACCAAGGTAAGAATGGCGGAACCCTGGCTTAAATTTCTTGATGCACTGTTACTTGTTAGCTAACATAGGTATTAATATTTATCTGTTTCATTTAGGATGAAGCCCCACAAACCATTAATCGCATCATCTGTCTCTAAGGCTTTTTTGGCAAGAATCACTGAAGCCTTTAAGGATTTTCCAAATGACAAGAAGCCTTTGGTAACCACTATGGGCGTCACGGCAGACGAGGTGGACTGTGCTTTTGGTAATGTCCCGAAATGTTGCCCCCTTTCCTACCAATGCCCTGTACCATCAAGTCAGGATTTCATGACTCATAACAACGCCCCCCATCGGCCGTCTCTTCCCCTGCCCCATTACAGACTGGATACAGTATTGGATCTTCCCACCCTCACTGCCCAGGAGCAGGAACATATTAAAGACATGCAGCTCACCAGGGAGGCAGCACATTTTCTGGAGTGCGCCACGCGTGATAGTAAGGAGTCTGCAGAGGAGCGGTGCAAACTGCGCCTGACCAGCTGTTTTAGGGATATCTGCAGACTTGAACCAGGAAGGGAGCCGGCGGAGCTGCTGATATCGAAGATGCGGAATGGGCGCAAGCCTGCACGGATTGATAAGGACATGAAGTCCCAAGCACTTCGCGAATACTGTCGGCATCTGCGTGTGAACTGGTACCCGTGCGGTTTGGTCGTTCACCCGAATGCTCCATGGTTGGGCGCGCTGCCTGATGGGCTGGTGTACGACCCCAACGAGAGTCACAGTTTCGGGCTGGTGCACATCAAATATATTGGCTTGCAAAGCTTCGGTATGTCTAAGTTTCTGGTCTGCCGGGACGGAGTGTTGACACTGAATACAAGCCACCCGTACTTCTGGAACATCCAAGGGGAGATGATGGTGACGGGTGTGTGGTGGTGTGATTTGTTTGTTTTCTCCAGAAATGATATACTGGTTCAACGCATCTATCGGCACAGAGTTACCATCAATATCATGACGAAGAAGTTACACAATTTCTTTTTCCATTACTACATGCGAAGTCTGTTATACACCGGTGATAGAGTGTCTGTGGCATCATCAAACTGCTGAACACACATGTTCCTCTCAGGTATTGAGTTTTAACAGATTGTCACAGGATAGATAAAACTGCTGAACAGATTTTCACAAAACGTGCTATAAGGATAGGGCATGGGTCAAGAGAGAACTCCTTAAATTTTGCACTTATCCAGATAAAGGGTTGGATCCAGGTATTTTAATTAGTTAGTTGATGGAGCTTTTTCAACATTTTCTCACAGAATAATTAATCTATCTTGATGAAAACAATTAGGCACATTTAGGGGACTGATATCTATGAGTGTGTTTAATTGTTTGCATCTTATTTGAATTAAAGGGGACTGGAATGAACTCTACTGCATACTGATCTTTCTGATTTGTTCTTTTGAATATGTTTTTGGTAACTTTGTGTTATTGTCTGTGTGTTATTCACATGTAGAAGTATGTGTTATGGATAAGGGAAGAACATGTTACTTTTTGATGTGAAGACGAATTGGGAGAGATCCAGGGAATGTCTTTTCACTTTAACATTGTTAGATAGGACGTGTTCTTTTTTTGTGGGTGTTTTTTTATCCCACTAATTTCCTAGAAGATTGTGGATCTTGATCAGACATATGGGTAACAATGGGACTGTTGGACCTCAGGGGAGGTACAGTATGTGCTCTACCAAGTGCCATTTTTTTAAATGCTGTATTTTTGTGATCAGTGTTAACATGACCTTTTGTGCAGCACCATCCTTGTTTATATGGGATGACCAACTTCCTATTTCTGTAACTTTTTGGCAAATATATATCTTGTCTGTAGCCCAAATAAAGAAATATATTTGTTCTAATATAAGTTGTTTTGATCATTTCTGTTCGTGTCACATGGGACTCATACAGCACTGAGCTCTGGGACTTCAGCAACGACAACATGAAGCTCAAGTTAACAAAAAAAAAACAAGGGTCAGGGTTTGAATTGTCCTCTTCTCCTGTGGGGGGCGCTGTGTCCACAGTGGCAGCACTGAGCACATGTCTGTGGTTAATGTCAGATGACGTAAAGTGAAAGAGTTATCTAATCCGCAGGGAGACAGAACATCTACAATCACTTTGTCACTTCAGTCAGTGAGGGGCAACAACCGTGAGTCAGCAGGAAACACTGGCTCTGTCGGCTCAGTTGGATTGACCGGATGTAGTTGTTTTGAAATAGTCAGCTCTCTCTCTCTCGCTCTCTCTCTCTCTGTGTCTCTCTCTCTCTCTCTCTCTCTCTCTCACTCTGTGTCTCTCACACTCGCTTCAGCTGTGGTCGTGTCTCTTCTCCTCGCGCGGCGCCTTTGTTTTTGTTTTTGTTTGTTTGTGTGACCATGGCTGTAAACAAAACGCATGTCAGTATCGCGTACGCTTCGTTCGGTACGATCATGGGCTGTTCTGCTTTTCTGGTGTGGAACATTGTGTTCAAGCAGCCGTGGACTGCAGCCATGGGAGGACTGTCAGGTAAACACTGCTGTGTGTGTGTGTGTGTGTGTGTGTGTGTGYGTGTGTGTGTGTGTGTGTGTGTGTGTGTGTGTGTCAGCTGGTGTTTTGTTTGTGTCATGTTCGTGTGTTTATTCCAGTCCACTTGTGTGTGAAGGACAGTAGTGATCAGTCCTATCATTCGGTCTTGTATATTAGGGCAGAGCATCCTGCTGCAGGTTTTACATTCTTATTGCTTTTATATCCTTAAATGAACAAAAATATTTGATGCAGAAAATGATCCTTTGAGTTAGGAGGGGAGTAGTTTTTAAAGTGTGGTTTTGATTTTACACTCCGTTTAAATAGATTTAGCATATTTTTACATGTGTGTGGTGTCATTAATGATATTAGAGCTTGTTTAGAAGAGTTGGTTTTATGCACAATTAGTCAACAGTCTGCTACATGACCTTTGAGCCCCAATTCATATCTATAAACTCTGCTCTCTTCCGACGACAGGATGTAATCAGTGTAATCAGTGAGAGTGGTTCACGCACCAGTTAATCATAGATCACACTTTATTGCAAATTATAAAAAATGGTCAAATGATCATAGGTCCAGAATGCCTGTAATCTTTCATAACTGCTGAGATCAGTAACCCACACAGGTGACAAATAGGCAACAATATATAATATATATATATATTCCTGAGTTGTGGACAGTGACAACCAGACGCTGATTTTCTTCGCACAACCTGTTTCATGTCTGCTTAGTTTACACACGGAGATAATCCCTTTTTTTGTTTTTTGTTTGCATGATGGCGAATGGGGGTGTGAATTAACAGTGTTCATCATCACGCTATCCTGAAAGTGTTGTTGTCACCAAATAACCATCTGCACCAAACATTCACTGAAACACTGAGACTGAAGCAGAGGCTGCAGTCAGTTCAGTGCAGTTCAGGTCCCTCTGTCACAGTTTCATCAGCATGGGTTGGTACAAAGTAGAGTTCATTGTGAAATGGTCACAAAAAAAACTATTGAAAACATTAAGGCAGAAGTGTGATAAATTGATTCAGCACTTTGCAACATGCTGTATCATGATATGTCTTCCCCTGAAGAAAATGCACAGTCACTCCTCAGGTCAACTACTGCTATAGGATCAGCTAAAAAGCTGAGAATTTTGCAGCCTGTTATTGTCTTAACAGCATCGTCATCAATTCAGTTTTTGCAGTTCCAGGCTGCTGTTGTCACTAGTCACTTCCGTTTAATCAGGAGACGTGACAGTTGAACAAACACTTTTATTGTCATGCACAACAAAGTAAGTCATGGTATATGTTGGGTATCTTTTTTGCATTTCGACCCATATCCTCATTAAGTTCTTTCGAAAAACATTAACATTTTTGTTAGTGCACTCAAGAATCTGTGACATCAGTGATTTGAGAGTCAGTTTATAAGTTATAATGTTAAGGCTACTGTAGGAGCTACTGTAGGAGCAAACAGTACAGAACAATAGGCCTCAGGTGTGTGTGTGTGTGTGTGTGTGTGCGTGTGTGTGTGTGTGTGTGTGTGGTCCTCTACCTATATCTTTGTGAGCACCATTTTAAGCAAAGTGAGGCCTTTTTAGCTGGTCCTTACTTCTTCAATTGGCTGTTTGAGGGTAAAGACTTGGTTTTAGGGTTAGAATTAGGTTTAGGGTTAGAGTTAGGCATTTAGTTTGAATGGTTAAGGTTAGGGTAAGGGGCTAAAAATACAAATGTGTGTGGGTGTGTGTTGAAATAACATAGAAAAAGAGGCTGCCCTAAGTGTTACAAAATGACTTGTTGCAAATTTGTCGCAACATCAGTGTTACTTTTTACAGTGGTTTAGATTTAACTGTGTGTGTGTGTTTGACTCAGGTGTGCTGGCACTCTGGACCCTCATCACTCACATCATGTACCTGCAGGACTACTGGAGGACCTGGCTGAAGGGCCTCAAGTTCTTCTTCTACATCGGGGTCTTCTTCTCTCTGCTCGCAGTCGTAGCCTTCGTCACCTTCCTGTCTGTTGCCATCAGAAACAAAGAGAGTAAGTTCTTATCGCTAGTTCTCACAACTGTGTGTGTGTGCATTGTTGTTCTTTATGAAGTAATGTAGAGTTGTACCCTTGTACAATGTACTTTAGCCTGTGTGAAATTAGTATTCAACACTGTGTAGTAAAAGTCACAATAAACAAAAGGTCTAAGCAGAGTTTCCCGAATTCAACTCAATCTGCCTAATGATGTCACTTAACCTGCTGGTTTCCTGCATTCCCAGAATGCCCTTAACCCTGCATCAATTAACAAAGCAATATCTTGAATCTCATCCCCCAAAACATGGTGTAGGATTTCTTGTCATTTCTTAAAGGTACAGTGTGTAGAATTTAGTGATATCTAGTGTTGAAGTTTCATGTTGCAGCTGAACACCACTCACCTCACCCTCTCCTTCCAAACATGAAAAAGAAACTGTGGTAGCTTCAGTTGTCATTAAAACTCAAAAGGTGTTGCGTTTGTCCAGTCTGGACTAATGTAAAAAACATGGCGGCTTCCGTAGAGAGGGTCCCCTCCATGTAAATATAAAGTATTTAAATATAAAAGACCTTTTCTGAGGTAAAGAAAAACTACAATTTATACAATTTATATGAAATGAACTAGTGAAAACATGAGAATTATTCTACATTAATTTTCTGCCAATAGTTCCCTTTCACCTAAATCTTACACACTGGACCTTTAAGGCGACTATCAATGGAGATATTTCTATCTCAGTTTCAGATTATTGTCCCTTTTATAAACGTAGAACATCAGTATAAAGCCACATTTGTCCACATACTCGTGGGTATTGGTGCTGGACTCCTTAGTTATATTGCACCTCTACTCTACGCATCATCAGAGCCCTGATCTCAACATCCTTGGGATGAAGTGGGACAGTGACTGTGTGCCAGGGCCCCATTTATCAAACTGCTAAAAGCGATGTTTTGATGAAAGTGACAATCTTTCCCTTTTACTCCTACTTCTCAAATTAAATATAAAGGAAGTTATTTTAATTTCGTACATGTCAGAAGTTTAAAATTTACAGAAGCTCCACAGGTGTAGACAAAGATACAAATTAATAGATGCTAAATATATTACATAGATGTTTAATACATATTAGTTGACTAGAGATATCATAAATAAATGCACTTTAAATAAATAAAAATCACATATATATATATATTTTCACAATATCATATTATATTGGTGTGAAGTTAAAGGTCATATATATCATAAACAATTGCGACCAAATTCGTCCATCCATTTGTCCTGTTCCTGTAAATGCAATGTCTCAGTCACACCTCTTCAAATTTGGTTAATTTTTGGTGGACAAATGTGACTGTGACAGCTCAAAAAACGCTTGTGACCATATGTTAAAAACTTACCAACCAATTATGAGAAATTTTCTCACAAATGTTGCATAGGATAAAAAACATTTTATATCCAAAAGAATAATTGTGTAACATTGTATTTGTATGAAAAGTGCGGGAGAATTTAGTCTGATTGATTGGTTGAATAACAGATGGCAGGCAAATCCCTATTTCTGATTAACGTATCCTGAGCATACATGTTGTCAGTTCCTAGAGAGTCTGACCTTTACAGAATTCTTAAGCCTAACTGATAGAGGTTTAATAAATGCAGGTCCTGGCCTTATCATTGAACATAGATGTCCAACCTCAATGATGCTGTTCTGTCTGAATGAGAGTAAATTCTTGTAGGCAGGTTCCGCTTCTTGTGGAAAACCTGGACAGAAGAGGGGAAGCTGTGAACGTAGTAGCTTATTGTGCTCATGGCTTTAGAATAAGATGTGTAGCAATGCTCTTTGTGCTACGACTCTGGTCTGCAGAGTGCTGAATACTAATCAGTGTGTCCCCCCCTCCCACAGCCCTGAGTGACCCCCACAGTCTCTACCTGTCGTGCGTGTGGAGCTTCATGAGCCTGAAGTGGTCCTTCCTGCTCGCCTTGTGCGCTCACCGCTACCGCAAAGAGTTCGCCGACATCAGTATCCTCAGCGACTTCTAATGTCATCAACAGTTACCCACTCAGACTCTACTGTTCACTCACTGTGCTGTACCTCCAACCCCAGAGCGTCACAGCGTGGGAGAACCGACACCAGAAGAGCAATCAGGGGGGAGTTTGAAATGCCATTGTGAGTGTCTCACCAGGGTCTCCCCCAAACCTGCAGGATTTGTTGTCGACTTGGCAACTTTACAGAGAAATCAAGCCCTGATTTATATGATCATTGATAAATTTTATTATCTTTACAATATCACATCCTCAGACAAAACAACTCCAAACTTGAACTATCCAGTTTCCACACACGCCTCAGTTGCAGTTCAGCCAATAGAGGGAGCCACTGTTCCAGTAATGAAATAACATGTACAGTACATGTGCTTGACATCCCAACTTTGTAATGTTACCTCTATGTGTTTTCTGACGGTTTTTTCTATACCTGTGACAGACGTGTTGCACATCACAAGTTGCACATACACATGAAGAAATGTGTGATACAAAGCTTTAGTGTTGTACATCCAAACTCTGCTTTAACAAAGTGTGTCAGGGTTTCGCAAAGGACAAATCTACAACACTAAAGCAAATGTGCTCATGTGCAATTCCAAATAAGCACCACATGGTTGGATTCAACATGTTTTTGAACTATTAATGGGCATTTTTAATAAGGAGAAAGATTTTTACATGATTTTTATTTTTAAAAAGTAAGAAAGTAAAATTTCGGAAATCCTAATTTTGAATATGGCTCTCAGTTTAGTGCTTTGATCTGCCACAGCTGTTTTAATGTTATTTTATATCGGAAATAATGAGATTATTTTGGTGTTATTTCCTTCAGTGCCATGTGAGAAATGAAGCATAACAACAATGTAGGAGTGTGTGTGTGTTTGTACAGGAGTGTGTGTGAGAGCCATGTTAATAAAAAAATGTTTTTTTAACATCTGGTGCGTTTTTGCAGTGAAATCTTAAAAAATAGCTTTGCCGGTGGTTCGTAACTGTTTCTCTTTTATGAGAAGGAATGTGTTGACATCTTTTACAGTTTCTGTTCCTATAAAATATTAGATAAACAGAAGAAAAAAACTTTGTATTTTCCTTGTGATCTTCATATAACATGAGAAAGTGTGAAAGAAGCAGACTGAAGGTGCTACATATGCTGTTTTTTTTCTCTCTCTCCCTCTAAGTCTGGGTCAGGAGGGTCAGTGTCGGGCATTAGAGTGGGATTTGTGCCATGAGAGGAATGAGCCCCTTTTCCCACCCACCCGAGCCCCATTTATGAAGAAAAAACACCCCACAGCATTGCTATCGCGACAGTAAATGCAGACCAATAACCTGCACTTTGAAGTCGGGCAATTATTCCATACATCCACATTTTTATTTTGTCCCTCAAAGGGAAGGTGGGGGCGGAGAGTTTTTGCTGTATGATTTTTTTGTTGAGGTAGCCGCCTGAATCACTTTGAAGTTTATGTGAAAAATATGTGATGGAATTATCACGACACAATCAGCATTCCATGTATTATTGTAACTCATTAAGTGATTGTTTTGCAGGAGAATATCTGTATGAATAAAGTTTCTAATTATTATTATCTGTTGGGAAACATGTCTCTTTAACTTATCTCTGCAGCTGCTGAGGAAAAACACTAACTATGGTAAATAATGAAGAAAGCGTTTCATTCTTTACTGGATAGATCAATAACTTTGATCCTTTAGGAGCCGTCATATCGTCATTTTTTCACTTTCTTTGTTGCCTGCCTGCATCCTTCCTCTGTGATTTAAGGACATTTTTTTGCATCTTAATTGTGTTGCAATGGTTTGTTTGTGATCCCCCAGAGTCTCATTGCATCAAGGTAATTGCGATGTTGTGGTTAGATCACCATGGCAATATTTTTTATCTGGCCGTTATAAACTTCGACATTAAGAAACTGAAAAACAATCCAGCTCACTTTCCACTGAGCAAGTTGGGGGATGTGGAACCAAATGCATCCTATTAAGTTTATACACCATCCTGTAAAATGTGTGTGTGAGTGAGTGTGTGCGTGTGTGTTGTTTGTGTGGTATGTAAGGAGAGGGAGGGCTCTCATTTCACTCAATTATGGGACTCCTTTCTACTCAAATCACGGAAGGAAGTTGTCTCGAGTGTTGACTGGCAGTCTGGCAGAGTGTGGTGAGGCTGGAAACAATAGTTTATACTTTCGAATAACACAAATATCCTAAACATCCTGTTCAATTAGATACTAAAGAGTGACCGAATCAGAATCGGCAACAAACAGCCGACAGGGGAAATGATTCCTCTGCATTACTCACACTCTTTCAACGCACGACGTCAGAATCTAAATATTTGAAAATGCTCATGGAGGACACGATCATCACACGTCCACCTGTCTGCTCTCAGACCAGTGAACTCGCCGACACATCTTACCATCATCTCATGTGGCACAGTGGTGGTGATATGTCGCTCAACTGAAAGTGGCAACACCCTTTGATTAAAGTCCTGGATTTACTTAGTAGAGCAATAAGACTGTTGGAGTGTAACAAATGTACATGTACAACACAGGTACTCAAGTAGTACAATTTTGAGGTGCTTTTACTTAACTTGTGTATTTCGGGCTCATTCTACTCAACTCTGCTGTAAGTTCCCCTCCTCGTGTGACAGCTGTAGTTATTGTAAAATGCTCTTCAGTTTGATATACAACATACCAAACATACGATCGTTTTCTAAGAATGATGCATTTATTATAAAGTGGCTAAAATGTTCTAGACCTCAACCGCCTGCTGATTAAAAAATTGCTCTCGATCATAAAATAATCAAACATTTTAACACTGCGTAGCTTCTTATTTTTACTCACCTTTGATTGCAAATTCTTCTTATAATTGAGAAAATGTTTTTTAGAACGTTTATTATTATATTTGAGAAAACCTTTTTTAAGAACTTTTATTATGCGTACATATTTTGCATTATGGTATTAATAGTTTTACACAGTTAACACATTTGAAAACTTCCTTCCTCACTGCTGTAAACGCTCTGTTTTGGATATTTGGGTTTGAGTATTAGTTTATAAAGTGACAGTGATGGATGAGAAATGTAGATCTTTGACAGTTGAAGTAGGAATACGACACTAACACACAAAACAAGTATAAGTCCAGAACGACACAAGTTTTAAAATGGAAAAGTATTACACTCCCGATCAAAACTTTAACACCTGCTGTTATTTAAACATTAACAATTTAAATATAACATATTATATATTTATACATAAATACTATCATCTACCACTAACATGTAGTGTAATAAACTGCAAAACACAAGTAAAGCACAATTACCCCATCATTATAAAAGTATTTTGTTAGTCTCTGATAAAAGGTGGGAAAGGAGTCACAGCTTTGTGTCTGCGCTGCCTGCTGTCCAACATTATCTGTTGCGAAATATGAATGTTGGTATTAATAAAACAAAAGAGTGAAACATTTGATCTAAAAAAAGAAGAGAGAGGGGAAAAACGCTAAATGAAAAGCAAACATCTTGAATTGGTCGAGAACCAGATGGCCTCTGACATTAAGAAGCTGCTTTGGCATTTAAAAGAGGCAGTCCCTGAATGATTTCCGAAGAACTTCCGCAAAGTGTGGTACAAAGCCCACAGATATTTAAGCAATATCCATAGCAATTTACTGTTTTATTTACAAACTGAAACATATGTTTCTGGACCTTTACAGCCCCCCTGCCTCCCTCCCCTCCCATCTCCTCTATTACCACACTGATTTACCGCTGCAGCATTTCTTCCACACTTTTTCCTTTTCTTTCCTTCTCTCTGCATCTCTCAGTCTTTATCGTCCTCTCCCATCACTCACCAGTCAGTCACACTCTCTCTCTCTCCTTCCAGACCTGCCTGCTGACAGCACATTAGCTGAAAGTAAAGGTAGGGCATCTAATGTGCTGTCAGCACACAGGTCTGAGGACACAGCACAGTAGATGTCCTACCTTCACACTCAGCCATTGTTTCTTCCCTCCCTCGACTCATTGTGTTTCTGTGCACGATGCCGTCTGTGCCTCTGGGACCACTGCGAGCTCGCATCTGAAACATTTTAGAGAGACACATATTTGCTGTTTTAGAGCACAAAGGAATATGCCATGGCAGAGGCTGTTTGAAGTGGCTTGACAGGGGAACCAGAACCAGAGCGAGGGATTTGAGAAACCATAAAGAAACGTTAGCGCAATGTAACTTTGGTAAGGTCATCTAATCTTTGGGAATTGATTCAATGTGAAGGCGTACCCCTTTGAAGCTGGCTCTGTTGATGTTTCTAATGCAATAGCTCTGTTGTAGAAATGCAGCATTCCTCTCTACCTTTGCACACAGTGCCGCACCACTTGACAGGGCTGGATGCGTGATAGAGCCTAATTCCACAGATCCCAGGTTGACATTGCTTCCAGTAACCACTATTTGAAGTGTGAGGTTGGAGACGGCAGCGTTTGACTCCCTGCCAGGCTCCTTATCGAACGAAATTGATTTGTGGTTTGTGTTTTTTGGTCATTCTACAACAAGGAGCCACATTCACAGAGGGCCAAAAAGGTGTTCCAGTGCTATTTGAATTTCCAGCAAAGACTTAGTAGAGAGCACACTTTGGTCTACCTAATAAATATCATTGAAACCAGGGAACACTTGCAGAGAGGGGAACTGATCAGCAGTTCATAATCCACACAGTGATGCTGAATGGATATCATCATGTCTCTCTTTCAGGTGCACCAGCTTTTATGAACTGTGAGCAACAGTCTTGTGGTTTGATAAGCTCATTTCTGACGTTCACGCTGAAACAGGATTTTCCAGCTCGAGTGACCACACGGTCAGCTGTGATCTGATGACCCAGCGAAAGTCTTATTAGTGTTATATGTGAACGGCTGACTCAGCAGAGAAAAGTACCCTCATGCGATCATTTGCTATATATAGAGTAGTGTGTAATGTCACATATCTCTCTACCTGGCTGATTACACTCAGCAGTTTTACAGTTATCACACAGATTCTGGTCAACATGCAATGATCTGTTTTCCTAACCTCCTATAAGTCTCTGTGCAGCTGCTCTTGTTAGGTGTTGCCCCTGTCTCACATTATCACATGCAACAGGAGATCACATGGCCTGCTGTTTGTCCATATGGACATGATATGATGCAACATTGAACCAACCTTTCACACACACACACACACACACACA